ACCAGCTAGGAGTACTGGACAGCTGTTCCATCCTAGTTTGAGACTCATCATCAGTACGCACCCACTCACTAGCGACTGGCCCTATTCAGGTAGTGACCTGGGGTTCTAGTGGGAAGCCGTTACCAGTAGAGTACAGCAGGTTGAAGATGAGGCAGTAACTCATCGAAGAAAATATTACGAAATGGTCGCACTCTGTCTTGAATTGGTGGGAGTTAGAATTCATGGGCCATTGAATCGGGTCCCAGTGGCTCAATGATCTACGAGCTCGCTTTGTAAACGGAGAGTCTTCTGTTCGAACCCCAGTGGGTGCGTACTAAAGAAGAGTCCCACACTAAGACGGAGCAGCTGTCCAGTACTTCCAGCTGGTTTTCCAGTGGTTCCCTAACTGATGTCAGCTCATGATGAAACCCTCCATCCAATTAAACAAAATCCCTACAAAACGAAAATATATTTATATTAATATTACTAGAATATTCGTCTTCTTACGAAAAACGATTTTTTATACTCCAGTAAAAATGCCACATCATTATTCACATTTTCAATTGTTGATACAGTACCGTTTTTATTAAATAGAGCTTCTGTTTTTTTAAATTGAGACTGGTAATAATGTTATGTGACGTAATTTCAAAATTCGATATGAATTAGATTTTGTGTCAGGATGAAGTTCAAGCAAATTAAATTATTGATAATCAATTCTGTGAATCTGGTTTATGTGACTTACTAATTTGCATAAACCTCCCAAACATCGAAGTCTAATCACAATACAGTAAGTGGTGTCTACATGAAACGTACTCATAGCTAGATCTAATGATACTAATAATAGCTTTATCCTGGGCAGTATTTATATTACGTACAGAATTTTCAGCGTGATTTATTTCATAAGTTCTCTCCGTTCAGGATCTCCAAGCAAAACAGTAACTAACGATAGCCTACGTGACACAAAGCAGTCTTACCGAAAACTTAAACCAATCCCTTATGATATTTCTTCTTTGTCTTCTTCTCCAACGAATACACGACATTTGAAAGTCAATTAAAAAAGGTGTGCAGGAGTACATTTTGAAACCTAAGGATATAACTGAATAACCAAATACTGCAAGTAGTTACGGTTTGCACTAAAAATCTCAGGAACAGTTATCTCATGTATTGAGCGGGATACGTTGCCATCCACGATTATACTTTTTCTCAGGTTTGGTAGACTTCCGAACCAGCAGGTTGTAAACATGTTAAATACTCGTGAGAGTAAACAACTCCATACGAGGTCACAGCTTAGTAGATTAAACAAAGTGAACAAGAGAAATGATATGCAGTATAATGGTGAGGATTTTCGGTAGTCCACTATGTGGTATGATACTGATCATTGAGCATATCACATTTCGTTATTTATCCTACTCTTTCTTCTCTTACATTCTGCAATATTTAGTTATATCATTCAAATTTCCTTGTAGCCAATAGTGAGAGTTTAATGGTTTAGATTACGACGCTAATTAGATTAACCCGTACCACAGCAATTAGTATAGCTGTTATAGAGTTGATGGTATAGTTTTGTACTCATTTGGAAAGAGATTATGAATAAACAAACCGAACTCTAGTCCCATTTAAAGTGGTTGATTGATGGATATTTTCAGCTTGAAGATCACTTCTAAACAGACTTAGATTAATGTTTATAACCGTACAAACGATGTCAGATTACATGAAAAACTCTTTTTATATCAGATAAAATCAGTCTTTCTGGAGAAAATTGATTTCACGAAGTTTGATCAGCGTGACTAATATATTACCTCAGACTTTGGGGTTGATTGTCATGCGTAAAATAAGTTGAGCTCAGAAGAAACAAAATAAGACGAGGATGCATTGATTGAGTTTTCACCCTACGACAAATTCTGGAACACAGTCACACCTACCAAAGTCAGTTGATGAGTTAGTGAACCTTCATACATGGGGACATGTGTTACTCACGCCAAGCCATTACTTTCCGTGATGCGCAATGTTGACTGAAGTAGGACTGTGTTGGTAGAAATTTAGAGGAATATATTGTTATATTATAACGCGTCTGTTCTATTCCAGGCTTAATATAGGGTTTCAATAGCCCATCTTCACTTCACTCTGTTGTTTTCAGTCTTTCTCAACTGGCCCCACGATTGCCCATAAACTTTCTTTTCCCCTTCATACAATCTCTTCCATGTCGTCTTCGGATGCCCAACTTGTTGCTTCCGATCCGGATTTCGGTATGACGTGTAATTTCAACTAATGGTCTCCTTAGTGTACGTCTAATCCATCCCCATTCCTTTCAGTATATTTATTGGGCGATAGGTTCTTGCTTGGTTCTCTGCACTACCAGAGTTCCCTGTTGCATGTCCTTTCTGGTCATCATCTTACATCTTATCTTTAATGTCAAGTGAAGCTAGCTGCTGACGAAAGTCTGTATCCCAGTGATATGAATCTGGTGATGCGCCAAGTCTTGAACTATATAGAAGCAATGGTTGGTACTAGTATTATAAATTCAGCTTCTTGCGAAGACAGTAACATTGTAACAACAGAAGACAAGGGCCAGTCAACAGATCGTTTATTAAGGAAATCAACATGTATTTATATGTTTTCATGTACATTATTATAGCTCATTCAAGCAAACGAACATAGTCTTCTGATTGGTTGTTTCTCACAGAGAGTTGACCTTGCATGCCTTTGTGGCTGTTTCTTGAATGTCAGATCATCTATATGTTATCTGTATCCGCCAACGCAAAGTCTGCTGTGGTTGGTTGTTGAATCAGTCTTTGTTCTTATTTTCTCATGACCAATATTGGGACATAAACATTGACGTAAATAATTGTCTATCACTGTGGCTAGCAGTCTCCTCTCACCACAACCTGTATCTCTTTGTGTATCGACAATTTCTGACGTTTTTTCCTTTTTTTAATCATTTAACTACGTCAACCATGAATTAATCGCAATCAGTTCACCCTACACACTCTATTTTATCTTATCTTTCTGTGTATGATGGGTATTTCAGTATCGCGTGTCCTTAACTATATTACAGTTAAACTGTACAGTAATATTTAATGACAGTTAATCACTTTGCATGCGAATGACCTTCATATATAATTGACTTGAATTGCGTTCAGATGATTTGGTTTACTCATTGGTCAATTAGAAATATATAAGTGACGTTGCGATAATGTAACGGTAGAAGACTTGTTACAGGAATGATCATTAAGAATTTTATATCTCTCTATAGCGTAATTATGTACACCTTATCTGCAAATCGTCATTTGCACGGATCTTCCGTGTTGTCCTACTTCTGCTATTTGTATTGTGTTTCTTTTTCTTCTTTTCGTGTCTCCCATGTTTTGCCACAACGCTGAATCATTTACTCTCTTTGGCGTCAAGTCTGTCACTCTGCTATTAGATGTTTTTTATGTCGGTGAATGTCTTTACATACTACTGATAAATACTGCCAGTAGCACATGCTACAATAATACTTCAGGATTTCAATAATGTACTCTGAAATTTGTTTTGTTTTGTTTTAACTAGCTTTATTCCTTCAAACTGTAAAATTTTTTCACAGATATCTAAAATTATAAAGCATTTTAATGCATAAAAGGATCTATTGTACGTGTATGTAGAATCTTGTAAGATTATTTCAGTGTAAAAATAGAATAATGAATGGTTAGGTTATGTGATTTGATATTTTGTTTTAATAAATCATTCAACATGTCTTTCAATTTAATTGAATTTTAGATTTTCCCGTCGATTGATTGGACCGAAGTGCTCTTGACATGTCATCTGCATAAGAAGCCGATATGTCAACCTGAGACCGGTCCAATCAATCGACGGGAAAATCTAAAATTCAATCAATAATTAATATGACCCGTTGCACAAGAGGTGGCTCTCGTGGCCCAAGTGGTCTAGTGGATAATGCTTCGGCGTTTGAAACTGTGGACACTGGGTTCGAGCCTCGGTGGAAACATCATCACTCAGTGAGAAATGCAAGTACATTCAGATGACGAGTCCCAAATAGGACGAAATGTGCATTGTGGATTCCACTGCTAGCAGCATCCACCACTTAAACGTCTTTCAATTTATAAGGAAATATACGACAAAAAGATAATCATATACAGAAATATACGAAGTTTTGTACATTAATGCATCAGTTTAGTTCATCACACTACATAGTATTATAAAATGAAGAATATTTTGAAGTGAATATAAGCGATAACTGCCTTAATACGATTAATTTTGAGTTATGTTATTTATAATCTGGTTAATATTGTGTGTTCGAGTGGCTAACAGTAGAATCGAGTTTCCTTTTTTTGGAAATCATCTGCTGAAGTATTGCTAAGATATAAGGTGTTTTAAATCAAACTCATCTAGGTAGAAATCATTTCCAACATGAAAGCGTTATCCACTACATTGACTACTTAGTCACGAGAGCCCCCTCTTGTACAGTGAGTATCAATTGTCATTTCCTAAAACTTATGATTGTCATGTGTTTGCATCCAGTGATTAGTCCCGAGCAGCATAAAATACGCCTCATGGGTCCTACTGTCGACAACTATCTACCAGATAGTGTAAAGCTGATACCAAAGCCATCATAGAGATATCCGTTCCTTCTAGCAGCCAACTGAGTAAAATTGACAGGTCATTTTGAAGCATTAAAACAGGTCAACAGACTGGGACTTTTTACACTAAATCCTGAAACTTAAGCTCTACAGTTTGTCTCCCAATTTAACCATGCGGTTACTCAAATCTCCAAAGTGTTGAAGTAACTGGCAGACTTCCTATCAGTTCTTGACATCTGCGATGATGGCTGGTTAGTTCCAGTTTCATTGGTAACGGCATCACCCCACTGTTATGCAGATACGTTATACTGAATAATTTCAAACGGTAGAAGGCAATAATTATTAACACTTGATTTCTACATATGTCCATTGTCTTATTTACACCTTTCAGTAATCTTTCATTTTTCTATTTTCATGTTATTTATAATCTGGAATCCATCACAGAGATTATGGAGATGAAAAATCTAATCAAAATCTATACAATCAAGAAGACACTTTGAATGATCAGCATGCTATTTTAGACAGTTCAGCCACTAATACATCTCTACATACAATCATCACAGTGACCAATACTAATTCCACGGAGGAAATTAATTCACTTCAAGCACAAAATGAAACAACAAACAATACTGTACCAGGAAAAGATTTAAACACATTAAAAAATCATTTGACTATTGAACATGCAATTGATGACATTGATTCTGCTGATGAAGAAAAACAGAATACACGTCAAAATCGAGTAAAGTTTGCCTCAGAAGCTGAATTTTTTTCACCTTCATATTATAGTGAACAAACTACTTCTGTAAGTAGTGTTACCGACATGACACATGTATCCAGTACAAGTGTTACTAATGCTAATTCTACAAATACTGATGCTACAGCATCTGAACTTTTTAGCTCAGAGGAAGTAGTTATCGTTTCGCCTAGTAGATCACCTTTACAAATATCTGATTTAAACAAACAAGGAGACGTTAGTAAAGTGAAGTCTAAGGAGTTTAAAGATACCACAGATAATTCAGATATCGGAGAAAGAAACGATAAAAAAGAAGCAGAAGAAGAAACAGTGTATAAAGAAGACTTTGTTTCAGACTGCGAAGATTAATTTGAAAAAGAAAGAAACATGTTTTCAGAAATAGCTAATCAATAAATCAATACTATTCATCGATCATTTACTCATGCATACATATTAAAAAATATATATCCACACTGGAAGATACATAAACATTCATAACATAAGCATATTTTGTAGACATTCTTATACTCCTTCAATGTGCACAACATTATCAGTTAGGTTTCTCATTATTCCTTTCTTCAATAATTTAAGGCAAGTTTGAAAGAATAATTATTGATTTATTTTCCCTTTGGTTTCGATTTATCACTGCAGTATTGAACATTTCCCTGAATCTGTCTAAATTTTTCGTCCTTATTATCGTCATTATTAATTATTACTATTTGATGCTATGATTTCAACAAAATGTATCTCAATAAAATACAGGATAACGACTCCTTTTGGTGTAGTTTCGTCTTCGTATACACTTTCATTTTTATTTTGTTGTCATTTTTCTTTCTTAGTGTTCATTTATTTTCATTATTCTAATTATTATTATTGAGATAATTTTAGTAGACGAAAAAAGAATGAGTTAAAAATAGACTCATTGTGAATTTTTTTCAGAATTGATTTATTTGGTTGTTTTGTTTTGTTTTGAGTGTACATCGACGATAAACAGGTAGTCAGATTTTTTTATAGAACCAAACTCATTAATTTAACACTTAAACATCCCATTTCCCGAAGGAATGATTGTCAGACTGGTAAGGTGTAACAACACTAGTGAATGTATTTTCATCACTGATCAACGCTTTTTTTTGATTACTCTGAAATATGAGATTCTAATGTAAGCATACATTTAAAGAAAAAATTGACTTTGTTAATTACAAAGGGCACATGATTTCATCATTCTTCGGTTGCCAGTCAATGATTGGAATCATATTCTAAAGCTATTCGGACATGTGAGATATATTTTACTATCGAATACCACGTAATATCGTCAAAACGTCCATATATACAACAACAAAAAATAAACTACTGATTCATTTTCAGTCGGTTCATTTTATTCGTTGACTTGAGCGTACGTGACAGTGAATTTTCGTCAGCACTTTTACAACTACAGTTTAGAGTTTTAACTTGAATATGACTTATGCTTTAGCTTTTGAGATTTATGATGTCATCTGTAGACATTATAAATCCTCCGTACAAGACTAATTCCTCATTAGTGAATTATGGATAAAACTATTTATTCGAAAATTTCTCAATTTCAATTAACGAAGCAGACAAGCACTAAATTGACGGAAGTGTTTTTTTTCTTCTTTGTGTTCTGATACATAAGAACAGACTACGATATGCTCGCGAACGGAAGTTCGTGCTCAAAACGTCATCAGTAAACAATGCTGTATCATTGTATATTTCTGTCAAATAAAATCATTATACGATTCAGCTTCAGGCTTTGAAGTTTCAGTAGCACTGGTGTTGATTTTCCAGGCTTAATACCGGTTGGATATCTGTTGATGAGTGCCCACAGTAGCCTGCGGGAAGTGGTTTTTGTGACTCTCCAAGTCTCTCAACTGTACAAAGGATTGAGTCAATTGATATTAGTGTTCAGAATTCAAATCTTGTTCCTAATGCTGAACATAGTAGAGTTTTACGCACTGATTTAATAGTAATGAAGGCCTGTCTTTCTTTTCCAATCTTGCCTCTGACATCCTTATCTGTGCCACCTGTAGCTGGAACGCCGCTGTCTAGGTCAGGTGAGTGAAAGAGGTGATTTCCTTTTGATTTCTCCTTTTGGTGGTGATTGATACTTGTTACTTTGGTTGGATATCTTTATCGTCTTTATTTTCTCTATGTTCATTTGAAGTCCAGTCCTGACTGCCTCTTCTGTTAAGCAGAATCATTTAAGGAACCAATATGTCAATGGGATTGGTTTACGTGGGATGCTTTATGAGGATTCCACCGATAAGTTATGAATAATGAAGCTAATCAGGTTAAGCAATAGCAGTATGTGTATTCGAAATTGATACTGAAAATCTGCAATTGTTAGCTTTACGACCAGAATAGGCTCGCTGTGGTATGGAAGCAGAAAACCGATCTCTGCGTCCTACTGTATAGCTGACAAGACTTCCTTGAGACACTCACAGTCACAGAACTCTCCAAATAAAGCAAAAAGACGATTATTCGTTGTTTGAGCCTATATGTGATTCTCAGTCGTGAAAACGTTCTATTTACAAAACAAGTACTTAGAGTCAAGTAGAATATTTCCAGTAAGGTGAGATCAAACCTTTGTCCACAAGAACTACACATCAATGCTTCCAGTAATTCGTCCGATGTCAGAATCACCTTCATTCACTCAAACAAAATCACGTCGTAAAACAACATATTTTCAATATATCACTTTACCACAAAGAGAAGCCATAAAATTAGAGATTAAACATTGAGAAAAACAAATAACAAGGATCAAGTCAACATATAATATGCAAATGTCAGAATAATTATATACAATTCAGGAGAAAAACCGACAATAATTACAACGTTGCCTGAAACATCCAAATGAGTAGAAATATTCTGATTAAATCATACAGAAGGGATTTTCCACACAATTTTCGCTCTTACAGCTGGATTAAACTCAGTAGTTAAATGATAACCTGTTGGATGCATTACTTAGCGTACGACAACGCGATGGTAACATAAGTTAGTAGTAGGGTTCGTGATGGTGTAGGAATTCGAGAACCAATTCTGAAAAATTGTGTGAAATTCCTGTTACCAATAGATGACTAGAATCAGATAAACATAACTGAAAATAATGTCGAAGAGATTTAGTCATCATGCACTAAGAGTGTGATAAATTATGTCCGGAACGAAGCTGATACATTGGTATAGTTGAATGGTTTAGTTGTAAAACCTTCATTGTTTTCAGTTTGAAGTATTAGTTAAAGATGTTGTCTAGAAAGACAGTGGAAGAGTCATAACTATATACCATCCAGCCCATAGAATACTACTGCATCGATGTCATCCACCTGAGGTGCAAATCTTCTCTACCATATCTGAGGCTGATACAATGTAGCTACTGTGGTACATGAGAGATCTGTTTTTATATACCTGATTATTTGATGTAAAAATCCAGATCACGGTAGAAATAAATTATTTCAGTCGGTGGATAGTCGGGACGATAATCCAGTAACCATTATTGTAAGTTCGAATGAAACTCGGACATCTTCCTAAACTCCCATCACCACCTTATCAAAGCGTGATTATCACTATGCTAAGCTATGTGAAAATGAAGATTAAAATAAGATTTTTATATTATGAAAGAAAATACTAGTTTCGTATTAACTGTGCTCAAGAATAGACCGAATAGTTACGAAATAACCCAAACACCGAGGGAGAAGTTTACAGTGTACTTCAATATGAATACCTTCGTTATGCTTAGATTTGAAAATGTGTATTGAAAATTCCTTGTGTCGGATATAAAATCTGACAAACCAGTGTGTGCAACATGAACGTACTCGACTATTATCTTGAAACTGAATTTATGCACATCATATGGTATGCTCAGCAGAAATTAACAGTTAATTTATAATAGCTTGTAAACATGTTTGAGTTTCATTTTTTGAGAAAGTAAATTAAAGTACTATAGCAATATACTCCAGAGAGTGAGTCAAAATTCGTTAAATTGCGCGTTATTGCTATTATTATTGCCTTGGGTTTCGAGTGGAACATAGGGCTTCAACAACACATCTTCACTTTCTTCTATTTTCTGCTATCCTCTTCAGCTGGGTCCATGCTTGCCCATAATCTCTCATCTCCTCCTCCAACTCACATGATCTCCTCCATGTCACCCTAGCACTGATGCCCCACTCGTCTTTCCGCATTTGGGTTACACTTGAGCCTGCATTGCCCTCGATGTCATATGACGGCCTCTTCAACGTATGCCCATTCCATCTCCATTTTCTCCTGGATATTTGTTGAGCGACCGGCTCTTGGTTGGTTTGTTCCCATAGTTTCTTGTTGCTTATTCTCTCTGGCCACTTGATCTTCAGTATGGAGCTAGAAGAGTGGGCAGCTGTTGATAAATGTCTGTAACTTGCTGGAAATCCTCTTCTGAAAGCGCAGTTCGAGTTTCTGACCCGTATAGAAGAAGTGAATGAATTAATATTGGTGCTGAAAATCTGAATCTTGTTGTTCGTACTGAGTTAGTGCAGAAGACTTTCAAACTGGTTTCAGATTGATGAAGACGTATCTAGCCTTTCCGATTCTGGCTAGCTTTGAAATCTTCATCCATTCCAACTGCCTGTGGTTGAAACGATGCTTCTTATATAGGTGAAGGAAGTAACCTTTGTCAAATCTCTTCCGTTGGCAGTGATTGGTGTTTGTTGCTTGTTCTTTGGTTACCTTCATCACCTCCGTCTTCTTTATGTTCACCTCTTTTAATTTACTAGCTCAGTAGTTTTCTAGCCGGTCTCAAGTCCAGGTAAAGAGGAAGAGTTGGGCTTGGGGCTAGCGACCCTACTCCACAAAACCAATCAAACTGCTACAAAAACTCAAATTGCACGTCGTGTATTAAAATCAAAGCATAACCAAAGACGACATCTAGTAATTCCATTTAGGACCAATAAAACCTACCAACTTTTGTTTCAGTATAATAAAACAGAAAAACAGAAAATTACATCTATCAACAACGGTATGAAGCTAAATCAAGTAAAAATATTTTTGGAAGACACAATCAAATTGAACTGCAAAAGTGTTGAAGACTAAAACTTTGGTATATGTTTAATGTAGGATTTTATGAATGAATGTCACTTAAGCCACTAAGATAACATGATCATCATAGACCCTCAAAGTGATACCTTTTAAAGGAGGTATATAATGGTTGATTGATAATATTTTCTTTTGTAAAGCATAAAGACTGATTATTTTCTTATTTTCCACCCATAGCAGAAATATACTTCGTTTTTGATAAGTACTGAGTAAAATTGTGACAGCAGAGGCAAGACACTGAAGCCAAGGTATTTTTTAAGTGATTAAACAGCTACTTATATCTATACAGTTTA